TGCGAGTGCTTCCGCAATTGATCAAAGCGCTGCAGGTCGCCTCTCCGATCTGAATGCGTATGTACAACAATGGTGCATCGATGTCTTCGTACCGTTGTGTCTTGAACTCGCGGTCGATCTTCGCAACGTAGGCGCGAAGGTCGACAACCTCTACTCCGGCGTCCATCAACGGAGTCGGTACTGCAGTGTGCAAGTAATCCCGCAATTGTGCCATGAGCACGTTGCAATGCGGTTTCGGCAAACGACCGGTCGGGGAACGGGCATCCATTGGAAGTCCGCGAACGTCAACGGGTCGAGCTCTTCAAGTCTCGACCATGACGTCGAATCCCCGGCGATAGATGGCGGCGAAGCTGCCGAATCGGTTGCCGATGGTGGTGAAACCGTGCATGCGGTGGATTGTTGCACGTGGAGTGGTTGGTCCAAAGGTGGGACCAAGTGGACAGCGTAATCCTCTTAAGATTACCGAGGACTTGCGACATGCGCCTCCTCCCCAGATGTGTAGGGAGGCCGCTAGCAAGGCGGCCAAATCTGGCGGAGTGAGAGGCGGAGTCGCCTCACCTCCCGCGCAGCTCAGTTTCCCGAGCTGTGGTACTGGCTGTCCATTTCCGGCCGGCGATGCGGTTTTCGCCTTCCCTTTTCTCGGGAGTTGTTCTTGCTTCGCGGCTGGAAGGCGGCCACCTGATCTTCCTCACGTGATGCTTGGGTGGCTGCCGGGTCTTCCACAATGGTGTCCGGTTGGACTGCAGCGACATGCTGCGGACGTGGACCAAATTTCCCTTCTCCACATGGGTTAGCTGCCACGCTGTCTTCTCGTGTGCAGCAGCCCGGTTGATTCGAAATGCCGGAACTTGAGCTTTCGATGCTGGCGGCTTCATGCCGCTGCAGCAGATCCTCGGCTTCCTTGCGGCGTGCCTGGGTATCTGCGTCTGCTTCGGCCTGTAGCCGCTGCTTCTCAGCTGTCGCCGCTGCTTCAGCCTGTAGGCGGGCAGCCTCGGCTGCCAGCTGGCGCTGTTCCTCAGCCTCAATCAATGCGAGCTGAGTCTGGAACTGCTGTTTGTAGTCGGCAATAGACTCATTGGCCAGTTGGCCTGGCATGCCCAGAGCTGCGCCCATCATGGTGGCAGGTCACTGCTTGAGTGGCACTGTGACGTGGCACTGTTGCCGTGGCACTGTTGCCGTGGCACTTCTGACGTGGCACTGCTGACGTGGCACTGTGGCTGACGTGGCACTGTTGCTGACGTGGCACTGTTGCTGACGTGGCACTGCTGACGTGGCACTGTGGCTAACGTGGCACTGTGGCTGACATGGCACTGCTGACGTGGCACTGTTGCTAACGTGGCACTGCTGACGTGGCACTGCTGACGTGGCACTGCTGATGTGGCACTGTACCAACTCGGAAAATGCATGCAAAGGGGTGGGTGGGAGGGAAAACGTAGGTAGGCAACCAACCCAACAATACTTTCCTCCGGCCCTAATTAAAAGGGCCTTTACCCGATGCAGGCCTCAGGCCTTGTAAAAGTAAAGCAGCGTGAAAGGGTATCTCGCCAGGGCTCAGAAACGTGAAAGCAGGTCAAAGGTCAAGTTCTCTATCAACGGGCACATCCAAATCTAAAACAAAGGGCATTGTCAAAAGACTTACCTGTTCACCAGGAGATGTACATGTCATGTCTGTTCGGAATAGGGTGTGTCTGTGCGTGCAGTCAGTGCACCTGTTCGTGCAAAGAAGAGTGTCTATTCACACCTTGGGAGTGTCTGTTCAGGCAGTGAGTGTGTCTGTTCGTCTAAAGATGTGTCTGTCCGAAAGTAAGTCAATAGATAAAGTCCCAGTTCTGGTCTAAGTCAAGGGGACAGTCCAGATCCAGACTTTCAAGTCCAAATCTAGGCCGAGAGGCCTCAGCAGCAGTTGAACTTCATTGGGACTGTACTGGGACACATGCAATGCAGGGTTTGGGACGAAGGAAAGGCTGAACTGAGCCAATGCAGACCCAGCGAGGAGAGGCCAGCACTATAAAGGCAGCAGCCAGCCTCATTCCTCGCCAGATGTCCACTGGCATTCTGTGCGTGGAAGTGCTGAAGCACTTGTGCGCTAAGTCAGGAGGAGCAGCGCTGGAGGATGAAGATGCGCTGAGTGAGGGAAGAAGACTGTACGCTGGAAGTGATGCAGCCATAGCTGCCCAGCGAGTTAGTACTAGTATTAGAGGGTTAGTGGTAGATAGCTATGAGTAGTATTCAGAGTAGATCCTCATGAGTGAAGAGTGTGTATGCATCGTAGGAGGAAGGGACTGAGGCAGAGAGTGTTCATTCAAGGTTTGGTTATGGAAGATACTTACCTGAGTTGGATGTGAACTGCAGAGGTGGCGCTGATGAGTAGTGACCACATTGATGACTTGGAGACAATCTGCAGAAGTAGCGCTGATGTATTGGAAGCCATATTGATGAGTTGACAAGGAATGTGTATTGCGCTGATGAGCGCTGGACTCAGAGAACTATGAAACTCTTTGCAATCATATTTTTGATAATATAAGCTGTGAAACTCGGTTCTCTTCTCATCTACCTTTGTCTACTGTGTGAGACTACTGATCATTATGTGTGAGTATGATGCATGACATGTACACACTTGCGTGAGATGGTCCCCAGGACCCATGCATAATCAACAGAT